ATTTCTTCCAGTTCTTCTGTCTCCCGAGCTGTTAGAACTTGATCTTCGCTATTATCTTCAATGCTCGGCTTTTCGATGAACTCGACCGGTATGATCCTCTTCAGATTTGGGTCGGAGGTTGAAGCTAGAGCCGCTAAGGCATCGGCCGATGTGTTCTCACCTCGCGGGATTCTGGTCAACTCAAACTCTCCGAACTGTTTCGCCAAGTCTTGCGTGAGAGCAAGATACGCTTCCATTCGTTCGTCGCGAGCCGTGTATTCTCCATTGAATTGATTAGCCACGAGCTGGGAGTCGCAAAAGGCTCGCAGCTTGTTGATCTTAAGTCCCCGAGCCAGCTTAAGTCCTGCTATTAGCGCTTCATATTCAGCCACGTTGTTAGTCGCGTCGAAATTTAGCCGAAAGGATTGTTCAAGGATTTCGCCCTCTGGTGATGCGAGGCGGATTCCGACGCCAGAACCTTGTTTTGAGGATGAGCCGTCGACGTGGAGGATCCAAACAGCGTTGGGCGACTCTTCTCGGACGTTCTCTGTTGGCAGCTCGATGATGAAATCGGCCAGGACTTGAGATTTCGCGCATGTTTTGTTTCTGTATTCGATGTCATACTCGCTGAGTTCTACTGCCCACTTGGCTAAGTGTCCCGATTGGCTTGGACTGTGCAAGATGGTTCGGAGCGATATGGGCGCCATGACGACAATCGAGTGAGACTGGAAATATGGCCGTAGCTTCCGAGCTGACATTACTACGGCGAGGGCGAGCTTTTCAGTTTGCGGGTAGCGTGTTTCCGCGTCGGTGAAAGTTTGCGAGACGTAAAAAATCGGCTTCTGCTCCCCTCTGTCTTCCCTGACTATGACTCCGCTTATAGCCGTATCAGAGACCGCGATGTATAGGAATAACGGCTCGCCCGGGACTGGTTTCGCTAACACCGGTGGATTAGCTAAATACTTCTTCAGTTCCTGGAAAGCTTCTTCGCAGCGATCGGTCCATTCGAATTTCTTGTTCCCGCGCAGAGTGTCGTAGAAAGCTAGACATTTGTCAGTGGATCGCGAGATGAATCGGTTCAAGGCTGCGACTCTCCCGGTGAGACGTTGGACTTCGCGCTTGTTCTGCGGTGAGGGCATGTTTAGTAGAGCATCGATCTGTTTCGGGTTCGCCTCGATGCCTCGGTGTGTTACGAGATACCCCAAGAATTCTCTAGACTTTACCGCGAAACGACATTTTGCTGGGTTAAGCTTCATGTTGTGCTTGTTGAGCTGACGGAAACAGTCGCGCAGATGGGCTATGTGGTCGCTTTCTTCAAGAGATTTGACTAACATGTCGTCGATATAAACTTCCATCGTCTTCCCGAGCTGTTCGGAGAACATTCTGTTGACGAGTCGCTGATACGTCGCGCCGGCGTTCTTGAGTCCGAAGGGCATGACTTTGTAACAGTAGATACCTCGGTCTGTGATGAATGCTGTCTTCTCGCGATCGTCGGGGTGCATGAGAATTTGATTGTATCCTGCGAAAGCGTCCATGAATGATAGCAACTTATTTCCCGCGGTTGCTTCCACTAAACGATCGATATGTGGGAGCGGAAAACTGTCTTTAGGGCAAGCTTTGTTCAGATCGGTGAAATTGACGCAAACTCTCCACTTGCCGTTCTTCTTTTTAACCACGACAGGATTTGCTAACCAGTCCGGATACCTTGCTTCAGAGATCGAGCCGATCTTCAGGAGTTTTTCAACTTCGGCGTTCACTGCATCTGCGCGATCCCGACCCAATTTTCTTCGCTTCTGCTTGATGGGCTTGAAAGATGGGTCAACATTCAGCTCGTGGCAGATTACGTCGATGCTTACCCCAGGTAGATCTTCAGCCGACCAGGCGAAGGTGTCGATGTTCTCCTTGAGGAATGAGATGAGCTCGGTCTTGAGCTCCTCGGTTAAGTCGCTGCCAATTTCCACACATCGTTCGGGCCGTTCGTCGTCGAGGCTAATGGAGATTACAGGATCCGAGGTAGGCTTCTTCTCCTCGCGCGCCTCCTCGATCTGTAATTGCTATAACTGTTTAGATATAGCCTTCTCTTCACTCCGGCCAAGTTTCGATTTCTTGTGATCCGTTTCAGCCTTTACTTCAGTGACAGGGTTTCGGAGTTTGTGTGCTGCCATGAAACACATCCGAGAATTTTTCTGACTGCCCCAAATTGTTTTCACGCCATTAGGGGTCGGGAACTTGACACACAGATGATATGTTGATGCGACAGCTCGCATTAGATTTAACCACGGGGTTCCCATTATGACGTTGTAGATGGTAGGTCGATCGGTGACTGAGAAGTTGACTATCTTTGTTACCCCGCCGGCTCGGACTGGTAGTTGGATGGTCCCAAGCGTCATCAAAGTTTCCCCTGAAAATCCGAGGACAGGCCTCGGGGTCGGAATCACCTGTGACATGTCGATGTTCATTCGTTGGAGCGTTTCGCGAAAGATCACGTCAATGGTGCTGCCGGTGTCAATTAACACTCGGTAAATATCGTGGTCTCCTATCGCTAATGTGACGACGATTGGGTCGTTATGAGGCATGTCGAGCCCGTTTGTCTCGCTCTCTTCGAATGTGATCACGTCGTTAGGTCGATCGAAGGGTCTTGTCCAGTTGCTAGGTGTCTCGGCTCGGCATTGATAAGCTTTGATTGCCGCTACAGTGTCAGGACAGTATGGCGATCCACCCATTATGGTAAAAATCTTCTGCCGCGTACCATCTCGGTCTTCGTCTTCCGATCCCCGGGTTCTTTTCTGAGACTCCTGGTTCCTTGGTTCGGGGTCTCTTCCTGGGTTGGTCTGTTCGGGCTCCGGTTCTGGCTCGAGGTCCTTAAGAGTAACGTTTGTCCCGAGCTCTCCAGCTAGGAATTTGGTTGCTAACTTGGCTCCGAGGCTTCGGCATCTCGAGGTATGATGGCCGAAAATTTTGTGGTGTTCGCAATATTCTTGATCATTGCTCGGTGGCTGATCCCTTGTCCAGGTGAAGGACTCTCTTCCTCGCCCACGGCCTCGGCCTCTACCGCGGCCACGGCCTCGGGGCGTGTCAATCTGGTAGCTATGGTATCCTGAGAAATTGCGCCCTTCGTGATGCGTATACGTACTGCTCTCACGTGTCTTTTTCTGGACCGGAGGCGCCGCTTGGGCTTTCTCGGTTTTCTCGGCTCGGGGCGCCTGTTTTGTTGGCTTGTGCCTCTTTGCTAGTAGCGCCATTTCTTCTTCGTGGGCGACGAAATCCGAGGCTCGATGGAGCGCGTCGCGAATTGTCGTTGGTTTAGACAGGTTCAACTCTTTCCTGAATTCTGACTTGTACCAGAGAGCTTTCTTCAAAGCCGAGAGAGCTGCTACATCTGTAATTCCTTCGACCTTGGCTAGCGTCGATTTGAAGGTCTTGAGGAAATCCCTTAGTGGCTCGGTCGGCTGTTGAGACAAGGACCATAGATCCGCGTCGGAAGTTCCGGGGTCGATGAGCACGGAGTATTGTTTGAGGAACAATGTCGACAGCTCGTCGAAACTATCAATCGAGTTTCGTTCCAATCTTGAAAACCACTCTAATGCGGGTCCTTTGAGGTGTTCCACGAACAGTAAGCACAGACCCGCATCCTTTTCTCCGGGCTTGAACCTGGCTCGGGCCACAGATATCACGAACGATTTAATGTGGCACTTCGGGTCGGTTGATCCGTTGTAGGAGTCGATTCTGAACTTTCCCAGGTTGGACATCGTCGTCTCAGAAATTCTTTTGGTGAAAGGCGTATTCCGAGATTCTTCCAAAATTCGGTCGATGTTCGGCGCGGAGGATGAGACGCTATGTATCTGGGTTTTGACGAGCTTCATATCGGCTTCCGCCTTGGCTAGGGAGGCTCGGATCTTGCTTAGCTCGTCTTCTCTTTCGGATTCTTCGGCCCACCTTATGTTTTCCTCAGTTTCTTCGTCATCAGTGAGATCTGTTCGCTCGGCGGAGTTAGCTCCGGCTCGGGTACGTTCGTCTTGCAGATCTTCTGGCTCGTCCGTCAAGTCCACTGCGTCTGGCTCGGTGGGATCATCCTGGTTCTCGCGCCTGACAGGGTCGGCTCGGGTTGCGACTCTGGTATTGCCGGTTGGTGTCGCGAACGTGAGTCTCGTTGGGTTGATGCCAGGCAAGTCCCTCCGAGCTCGTGGTGGCCAAGTTTGGAAACGTGTGGTTTTTTGTTGCCCGCGTGTTGCGATTTCGTCGACTCGCTGCGCCAAGGTTTGGTTGGCTTTCTCTTGGTCGTCAGTTTTCTTCTGGAATTTAACCATCAGATCTTTCAGTTCGGCTAGAGTCGCTAGGATCGTCGGATCGGCGGGTTGAGGATTCTGAGGGTTCGGAGGGTTCGGGATTCCTCCTCCAGCTGGTGGCGACTGACGACCGTCTTCGTTCATCATGCTTTTCAGTAATCGAGTTCTGCGTCTTAGGGTAAGAGAATTCTAAAGTATCCCCACAGACGGCGCCAAACTGTGGAAGTCGAAACTAACACAATCAAGATTTGTCTAGGGTTTTATTTTAGGGATACGATAAACGTGAATTCTCAAAGAACAACAGAAACGATTGATACCAAAGATGGTGTTCTTGATATTATTAATGAAAAGATGATTTTGATCGTACAAGAGTTTGATCGTAAAAGAAAAAGTGTTTGTGCTGTGAGAGCTTTGCGTAGTTTAATTTCCAGAGCGATCTTTCTTGCCCTTCGTTTGAGCCTTGAATCTCTTTATATAGGGATGATGAACCGCCTCTCCAGCGATATTCTCGGAAGATTTCCATTTATCTTGAAGTCGGCCAGAATATCGCGGATTTAGGACAATTTCCTTATTCTTCGGAGTTTTCGGAAGATTTCCTGATTTGAGTTGATCCTTCGCGATTCTTCCTTATCATTTCCGAGTTTATCGGAAATGATCCTTCTTTTTCGGAAATGATAACTTGCTTGGAAATGATACCTTTAGAGAAGAATATTTACTAAGTCTTTGCTTCGGGCGATGATGAAGGCTTCGCCTCGGAGAACTTATGCAACCGGCTCGGGGACAAGAGAGGCGTGGCCTAGGCTCCCGAGGAAAGCGGCTCGGGTTCACGGAAAGATCCAGCTCGGGGGTCTCGACACAAACCGGCTCGGTTTCCCGAAGTGAACCGGCTCGGGCACTTGAAGGGAGCCGGCTCGGGTTCGTGAGCCTGCTGACAGACCCCGAGCAGACTATGGGTGTCCCCCGAGGTGATTGATGCGATGACCCGAGGCGAGTGGCAATCTGACCCGAGGTGAATGATAGTCCGACCCGAGGTGAATGGCAGTTCGACCCGAGGTGAACGGCAGTTTCCACCGAGGTGTCTTCAGAAATTCCCTGAGGCGTTTGGAGTTCGGCTCGGTGCTATGGGATGAAATCCGACCCCAACAGCTCACACACCAAAGCTTGTTGAATTCTTTCTTGGAGAGTACAGTAAAGAAATAAATCTTGACAACCCATTGGGAAAGAAAGTATGCTGATATATTGCTTGTTGTATAGATAGATTCTCTTTCTTCTTGGTTAGCCTCACCAATCAAATTTTCTTGTGGCAGGGTGAGCTTGCTTTAGCTTTCGGTGACTTGTTAAGGAGTTTGTGGGCTCCAGGTGCATCAGCAGTGTCCCCAAGTATACTTAAAGCAAAACTTGATCGATATGCTCCTCAATTTAGTGGCTTTAATCAGCATGATTCGCAGGTCAGAGAAAACCCTTCAATTTATAGAATTTGAATTAAGTGAGCCTTCCTGATGTTTCTCCCTGTCAGTCAGCATAAAAGACCAAATATTGGAAGATTCAATTCATGTATTTCATACATGGTTGCAGGAACTTCTAGTTTTCTTGCTGGATGGACTCCACGAGGACTTAAATCGTATAAAGACCAAGCCTTATGTGGAAGCAAAAGATGGAGATGGTCTTCCAGAGGAAGAAGTGGCCGATGAATATTGGCGAAATCATGTGGCTCTCAATGATTCAATAATCGTTGATTTATGCCTAGTAAGTATCTTTAGGTTCCTAAATTGTTTCTATACCTCTGTTGACAATCACTCTAAGGATCGGTTTGGCTTGCACATTAGGAAAATATAGTTTGAACTCTGCTTGACAAATATTGGATGGTTCAAGCTGTGCAATTTTCTGGTATATAAGTTGTAGGTTTTATGTTTCATTCTGATCTTGGACAAGTTTGAAATTTCTTTTATTAGATTGGTCAGGCAACTTTATCTTCTTGATTGAAGTTCTGTACATAATTTATTCTTTGTTCTTAAGGAAGATATTTCCCTGTTGATAACTATGTCAAGTTATTAGAATGTTCTCTATACACAACTTTTCTTAAGAACTGCTTTGCGTTTGATACGATGCTCTTTGCACTTTAACCATTTGACTATCCTGGATATCCTCATCTTCTTTGGTTCAGTGCATTTGCTAAGAAAATATCCCGACCATGTTGATCACTAAGACATTTGTGTGCATTTCTGGTTGAAGGGCCAATTAAAGTCAACAATAGTTTGTCCTATTTGCAAAAAGGGTTCTGTTACGTTTGATCCGTTCATGTACCTATCACTACCTTTGCCATGCACTTCAATGCGAACAATGGATCTAATAGTCATGAGTGCCGATGGGGGTAGTCTGCCTGCTTTATTGACTGTCAACGTTCCTGAGTTTGGAAGATTTGAAGATCTTCAGAAGGCTCTTGTCACGGCCTGCTCTTTACAAGAGGATGAGACTTTACTGGTTACTGAGGTATATTTCTATATCGTATATGCTATATTTGATGCCATGATTCTTATTTTGGTCCTAACGCGGAGTATTTGTTAACACATGCTATGGAAATTCTTTTCATCTGGCCTTCACTTGTATAGGTATACAACAATCAAATTATTCGCTTCATAGAGGAGCCGACTGATTCATTAACCATAATCGGATATGGTGCCAAACTTGTCGTGTACCGGTTAAAGAAAGATGCAAACAATTCTCGTTTGATTGTGTTTACGCATCAGAAGCTGGAAGAGTAAGTTTGCATAGTATTCAAATGCTAAGAAAGGTTATCAATGCAAATATCCCTTTGACCGGTGGTTTTGGACATTATCTGTTTGTTTATGTCGGCAACAACATGAATTTAAAGTTCATTGCATGCACTTTCCTCAGCAATCAATATCTATAGTTCTTGCCTTTATAGAATGTATCTCTCTAACGTGCCATTGTTTTTTTTTTAAGTAGTACAGCAGTTTAATTACTGTCAGTAGTTTCATGAATGGAATTTATGTCTGGTGGGTACTAAATATCTAACCGTTTCAGGCAGGTTATCCTTGGGAAATCAAACCCAACGTGGAAGGGATTTGGAATCCCCTTGGTCTCGAGGCTTTGTGACGTTGAGAATGGATCTGATGTTGAGAACCTGTACCTGAAATTGCTTAGTTCATTTAAGATGCCTACTGAATTCTTCACTGCGAATCTTGAAGATCCGATTGAAGAAGACGCCACTGATAAAGCAGTTACCGATGGTTCTACTTCCACTGACGCGAAGGAGACTACTGAGTCTCTTCCAGACCCTGTGTTGAGGCTTTACCTAACCGAAGACAGAGGAAACTCAATACAATCTGAAATATTGAAAGAAAAGCCTTTAAATAGTAAATCCAAGGTGGTGAATGTGCTTGCACGTTGGCCAGTAAAAGAGCTAGACGCTTATGATACTTGTCTTCTGAGCTACTTACCTGAGGTTTCCAAATTTGGAACTAAGAGACCCCAGGAAGAATCTGTTTCACTTGACAAGTGCCTTGAAGCATACTTGGCGGAGGAGCCTCTTGGTCCTGATAACATGTGGTGAGCTATTGATCAAAACCATTTTTTTGTCACTTGATTTTCGTAAATCTTTTTTTGTGCACCTGAATTGCTCTGTACTAGTTCTCTGTGAACTTTGGTAGATGACATGATTCCGAATCGTTTCTTTAGGGATTGTCCTGGGTGCAAAAAGAAGAGGCAAGCCATTAAAAAGTTGGATCTGTGGAGGTTGCCAGAGATCCTGGTAATTCATCTGAAGAGGTTTTCACTGAATAACAAGCTGGAGGATGATGTGGACTTCCCGCTAGATGATCTTGATCTATCAAGCTACATCTCCTACAAGAATGGTCAGACTTATCGCTACATGCTATATTTAGCAATCACTGTGGAAGCATGACAGGTGGTCATTACACTGCATATGTCCATGTAAGGGATAAATAAGACATTGTTTTATTATCCAATCCTATGTCTCATCGTTTTGTGTTGAATGGTTCATAATATTTGTGTAGTCTCTTGGGAATTTCTGACTCATTTTCTTACTTTGCAGCTTGGAGGTGATCAATGGTATGAGTTCAATGATAGCAATGTCCACCAAATCAGCAAAGAAGATATCAAGACCTCGGCAGCCTACGTTCTCTTCTATCAACGTTTAGTAGAAGAAAAATGAACCAAGAAGCGAAAACACACAAGAAAGAGGTATGTTCAGCTAGATGTTCAACAAAATGAGAATCGAAGTATCAACAGTATGTTGAACAGCTAGAATCATTTTCGCTAGGCACAAAGTTTGTAAAATCTAACACTGTTTTCTTCAATTTTCTTTCACAGTATTGTTTAATATTTAAGTTGTGTGCCATTACGCTATGTAGGTTGAGTCAGATTTTCTTCCTCTCTACACCAACCATGGCATTGGTCTTACCACTTGGAGCCCACCTTCCACTTCATTGGACTCATACAAAGTCTCAAGGGTTTCATGGCTCCAAAAAAAAGAAAACACTGTTTCTGAGAAAACTCTCGTCTTTTCTAGTTTATTGGTGTTTTTCCTCATAGCGAATTGGTGTACCTCTACTTGCTTGTCTGAAACAAATCTATAAGACTATAAGCAATTAGTTCCACTTCCTTTACCTAGTCCATGTGCTCTTTCAAAATGAACATGAAACAGACGGACAGAGGAAAGCATGACAATCAACAAAGCAAAAATGAAGGAATAACCAATCTTAGTACATCCGTTTAACCAATCTTACAACATTTGTTTACATGTTCAATACAATACTATTTGTGGCAGGAGCTCTGTCATCTCTATCCTTGCTAAGCTCAGTTTTGTTGAAGGCATCAAATCATGGAATGGGTACTTAAAACCTTTCTAGAACAAATCTTATTCCTATGTACATTACCAACTTCCTTATTGATCATAGTCTCCTTTTAATTGAGTTTTTCATAGAGTGTAACTAGAGAGACCATCAAGCAAAACAATATTTAAACGCATTGAATTCTCAAGCCAAAATCTTTACCTGATAAGTTACAATCAAACAAAAGATTCACTTGTCTCTTGTATTTCTTTACTTTGTCCCAATCAAACAAATGTGTTTATCAACACTTAAACACCAAAATTATCTTGTCTCTTCTACATCTTTATTTTCAAAACTTCAAAACACCAAACATTAAACACCACATTTTATTTTCAAAAAAATATTTTTTAAGAACCCCTACCATTGGAGAATGAATTTGTTAAGAACTCCAATGGAGTTTCTCAGCTTTGAAATTTTCAAAATTTAAAATAAAAAAATTGGTAAAAACCTCATGGGTTCTTACCATTAGAGATGGTCTTACGAAGTCAACCCGAAAATTGTAGAAAAACTAAATAAGGAATCTGATGCATTACCATTATTTCAATCTATTTGAACTTTTGATATTTGTAAATGTACATTTTGTTGGTTTTATATTACTTAAGAACGGTAATTAATGTCTTTACCATTTTTTCCGTTAATTCGTCAATCAATTTTCAAGTAATGGACACTTTTTTGTAATTATTTACCTTAACTACAATATATGTTAAATAATTCACCAGTTACCACTATCAATTATCAGTCGAATATCTCCATCAACAACTTTCATTTCCTATATTTTTTCGAAGTATTTATACTTTTTTATTCTTAGTAAATTAGATATAATCCATACAAATATAATGATCACATAAGGATCGACTAAAATAAATTTTCCATAGACTAAAAACAAAAAAAAAATCAAAAACCCTAAAAAGATAAACTAATGAAAAATCCCTCTTTTGGGTTTATGGGTTTAGGACCATTTTTTCTTATAGAGTATCTCTTTCTATAGACTTCGGAATCATTGTTATAGCTACCTTACCAAAATGATTAAGATATTCTTGGGATCGAATAGAAAGGAAAACAAATTCAAAACATATTAAAATAATATGATACGGAAGTTTTGGTATCGTAATGTTGACATTTCATTACTATTACCGAGCATCATGTTTTCTTATGCAGTGTGCAATTTGGAGGTTTAGCCAAAAGACACTACCCACACCACATGCTTCACATCAGAGCAAGATCGAATGTGGAGAAGAAAAATAATGGATTTCAAAATATGTTAGCGAAAGTTCTGTATACTGACCTTGTAATTTTGATATGATATCAATGATTTTAAATGGAAAAAAAGAAAATAATAATAAAATGGGTCTAAAAGTCTATGGAGATCACAACTTTTCTGCTCACACTCTAACGCCCCATCTTGTATCCACTCTCTCGCAAGGAAACACCAATTTTCCCAAACTGCAAAACAATTTTAGAATCACACATATGGATCATAGGTTCTCAATTCTTACCCTCATTTCAGATCCTCATAAATTTCAATTATCTTTCTTTTTATAACTATGCCCCACTGCTTTGAGATGTGCAAGAACGCCCCCCAGTAACCTCGCTACACTAACTCTACTCTTCTTTCAGTTTACCTTCTATTTACGGTGTTTGTGTACATGGCAAAGCTATTGTGAGAACTCCTCTTGATTTCCAGCTTGTGCGGGATTCGATCTATTATAAACAGAACTGAGAGAACGAGTGATCAAAATCCACTACAGTAAGTTGGAATGAGCTACAAAATAACATTACCTTCGGGTTTCTTTGAAGTGATCCGCACTAGGCCTGGGCAAAAAACCCGGACCCGATACCCGAACCGATACCCGGACCGAAAAAATCGGGTTGGGGAGGGTTAGGGTATTAGAAAATTATCTTATTGGGTAGAGTATTGGATTACCCGTGGGTATCGGGTCGGGTCGGGGATTACCCGTTACCCATTTAGGGTACCCACAAATCCGAAGAAATACACATGTTTATATATGTATATAGATAATTAGATATATTGTATATAGATAATTAGATATATAGTCTTATATAGTTATATACTTATATGTATGTCCTAGGTTTTAGGTTTTGTGACTTTTGACGTTTGAGTTTATATATGTATATAGATAATTAGATATATAGTCTTATATAGTTATATACTTATATATATACTTATATATATATGCAATACACATATGTTTATATATGTATATAGATAATTAGAATCTACTCTTAACACTTAATAGTGAAATAGTCATCTTTGTTATTTTGGATTGGATTTAGTATTTAAATATCATGTTTGATGTTCTATTCTCTTTATTTGATCATTTGAGTATGTAAAGTGATTTTAAACTTCGGGTATTACCCAAACCGATCCGACCCGACAATACCCAAACCAGACCGGAACCGAAACCATAGGAATACCCAAATGGACCATAAATTCATTACCCATTCAACCCGAACCCGAACCCGAACGGGTTACCCATATGCCCAGGCCTAATCCGCACATTCTCTACTAGGGTACATTCGAGAAAGTATCGCCATCTACAGAAAAAAGATTCAGAATTAGCTTTGACAGGAAGAACACTTTCGGACTGCAAGTTATTGGGAATGACTGATCTAAAATGTTAAGCCTTGATAAATTTTTAGAAGCTTCAAGCTGAAAGTTCTAGCTTCCGAGTTCTATAAAACCAATTTCTACCTCATCTAATAAACTACCATCTATATTTTAGAAGATAATAGAGTAGGGCAGGAAGAGTTGTACCAAATCTTTGACATCCTTGTTTTGCTGCTTTGTTGGTTTTTCTGGATACTAATGAGAAAATAAGAAACATCTGATTCAAAATAGATACTCAAGTGTAACCAATTCACAAACATCTACTAAGAAACTGCTAGAGGTCTCATCAACAGGATAAAATAGAAGTATGAGAATGACAAATGGAATCAAAATCCTTTCTTTCTCTCTAAACCCTCCCTAAGCCCAAATGTTTGCCAACACCCAAACGAACCCTCTAAGTCTGTTCATCCGTCATGTTTCAAGAAAAATAAGTGGATTATAAGTATGGTTAAGAGTCAACTATGAAAAGAAAGACAATCACGAGTGTTCAAGCGAAATGTAAACTACAATTAAATTGAGAAAAACATAAACTCAACCTTCGCAGCAAGAGTATGCAGAAATCTCCATGTAGCTCTCCCGAGATCCTCTTTAGTCACAGGACCTGTAGTCTTGTCCTAAAAGTATATGTAGTGAGTGAGACACAGATTATGACCGTTTTTTTATTATAGTTTTGCTATGTACACTACTTGCTATTATCTGCACCTGAAAATACATTTTTAGAGAGCTTAGGAGATGATAACACAGACGAGTTTCGGTTTCTCAGGTTTTCTTCATTTCGGGAAAGCAAGGGAGCAACTCGGGTATCACCTCGAAAAGATGTACAAGAAGTCCATAGTCAGCTACCTACAACATCTTGGTATTGGTGAATGCCAACTAGAATTATAAGCGTACCTTCACATGCGTGGAGTTTCAAGAGATATACAAGTTTTTGGCAGGCGAACTTTCTTGTTTCATTTAAACAAACTTTGATGCAGTCTCCAAACTTGAAAGAGTTTGATAAAATCGTCACAGTATATCCAAAATTTTAAAAGGCGGTTTTACTTTTACTTGAGGGTGAAGCTGTTGTTGAGGCTTGATTTACCATGTTGGATGTAGTGAAAACCAAGTTTGTAGTTGTAGCTCAAAAACCAAGTGAGCATGTAAGACTAGTGTAAAATGAAAAATAAAAATGTTATGTCCATTGAGAATTTAGTGGAAAAAATCTATCTCTCCATAAACTTTAACATATTTTATTTAAACAAAGAAAGAAGAATGTTTTGATACACAAAGCCAAAGCCTTTTCACAGAAAAACAGCGTTTAACAGGACAAATATGAAACACAAAACCAAAGCCTTATCACAACATTTCAGTGAGCCGATCCGCTTTGGTAGATAGGTTTTCCTGAATCAAATAAGCTGGTCCAAAGGCATGCCGAGCTTGCATATGGACATGCGACATTGTCCTCCTTAGGCAGTGCTGCGATAACATTGTAATTTCTCAATTTCAAATAAAGAAGCGTTCTGCCAAAATCCGATTCTTGTGAGACGCTTTCTGCGATTACCACCAAATTTGGTCGGTCATGGTTTTTAGCATTAGGTTTCGGACGATTTTCCAGTGCCCAGAAAAGAATGTCTTTTTGCATTTTATCCACTATCGAACCTGACTCTATTATACATAAACGAAACGGAGATCCGATATACTATTAGATATGAGTAACAAAGAGAAAAATAGGAGTAAAGAATGGAATTCACCTTCGTTTACGAGTCTGACTCCGGCATAGCAGAGAGAGTCGCTTTCCTGGATAGTTTTATTATAAGCCCTGATTGACACCTTACCACCACAATTACCCTTCTTAGCAACAGCGGATTTGATTTTCTTACAAATCGAATCAGGATCCACACCTCCAGGGATTGGGCAACACTCGACATCCCAGAAGACGCATGTGCCACCGACTGCGAGGAATTAAGAAAAGATTTCAGAAAAAAAAACAAATAATTCTAGGAAGATATAGAGAGAGATCTCACCGGCGGATTTTCTCGGCATGGTTTCGTCGGAGAAAATTAGGGTTCACTTAGATCCAGTTCTATCTTTCTTTAGATAGGCAGCAACTTCGCATTTATAAAAAGGCCAAACAGATTATATTTTTGGGCTGGGCCTGGTAGATTTCAAATAGGCCCAATTATTAAATTTATCTCTCTTACAATCGTCACAATGCACTAAATGGGCTTTGTTTGTTGTAGTAAATCGGACTTGTGAGTTAGACATTTTGATCAAAAGGGACTTGCGAGACAAGGCCTGGGCTTTTTTTTAACCGAATGTACCGAACCAAAACCACCGAAGCAAACCGAACCGAAAATTTGAAAATAACCGAATGGATACTAAATTTTATAACAAAAATAACCGTAACCGAATCGGTACCGAACCGAAATATTTCGGGTAACCGAAATATCCGAAATACAATTATATTTTCAAAATAATTAGTTATTTATATATCAAATAATCAAAAATACTTGAATAATATAAAAATAGTAGAAATACTCGAAAATAACCGAAAAAATATCACAAAATATCCGAAAATACTCACAAATAACCGAAATATCCGAAAATATCCTATGCAAATAACCGAATGGATATTAAATTTTAAAACCGAAAAAACCGGAACTGAACCGAAACCTAACCGAAATTTCAAAATATCCGAATGGAAACTAAATCTTAGAACCGAAACCAAATGGACCCAACCGATAACCGAACGGATAACCGAAAGCCCAGGCCTATGCGAGATATTGTTTTCCGACTGACTGGTGAGAGAAATTGTTCTGCTGCTAAAACCAAAAGCAATAAACTTCATTCGGCCATGTCCTAATCCTATTCATGAGATTACGTGGATGTTTGACTTTGGTAAAGGGAAACTTACCTTGTGTGATAGCAAGCTCGCAAGACATTTGGTCTAAGAAGGTTAAACAAACCACACACCAGCAAAATAATACGCAATTAAGAGAAAGAAATTTTGTTTGGGTGTTACTTACTGTCAGCAACAGTTTGAGCTAAATAGTAATGATGAAGAAAGCATTAGGACAAGGAGAGAAACAGAACAAAGATGAAACATCAATGTAACAAAACCAAAAGTCTTTCCACAATGAAAAAGAACAAAGATAAAACTACAATGTTTTCATACACAAAACCAAAGTCTTTCCACATAAAACAAAGGACCATACATAATAAAAGGTGAGATTGATAATGTCGATTGTCGAACCAAGCGGATCCGATTCGGAAGATAGGGTTTCATCCATCTAATAATAGGCTTCTGAAAGGCCATACCGAGCTTACAATACCAGGAAGCACATCCGGTTCGACTTCATCTACAAGGACAACATTGAAATTTTTCGATTTCAAGAATCCAAGAACACTGATGAGCTCCGATTCTTCTGTGATGTCTTTTGCGATTACGATCAAATTTGATGGTTCACGAGTGTTCATTGCCCAGAAAAGCATGTCCATTATCATTTTATTAGTTAGACAAGATATATCACCTTGGCCGAAGATGATTCCGGCACCATAACAATTTGGCGTATTCTCCTCAGTATAAGCCCAGATTGACAAATCACCTAAGTACCGCTTACTAGAAAGAGAAGAAGTGATATTCCCAAAAATCTCATCACGATCAACATCATCAGAAATTGGGAAATCCACCATGTTCCAGAAGACGCCTATCCCAGCGCCTGCGAGGTTTCACAAAAGGGAAACGGATAAGCAATCACGACAAAAAAAAAAAACCAAGTATTTTAGAAAAGAGACAAAATAATTTCGAGAGATCTTACAGCCGAATTCATTCGCCATGGTTTCGAAGAACAATATCGAGAAAATTAGGGATCACCTTTCTTCTTCTTTAGATCCAATTTCTACAACAACAACAACAAAAATAAAATATAAAATATAAAAATAGGCCCATTTTTAAAAGCCACAAAGTAAATGTGTTTGGGTCGGGCCTAGTATATTTCAATTAGGCCCAGTCATCGTAATTATCTCTCCTCCGCCCAGGCACCCAGCGTTTTTATTAGGCCTGAGCAAATAAACTGAACCGAAACCAAAGCAAAAAAACCCAAACCGAACTAAACCGAAAATTTGAAAATAACCGAATGGATATTAAATTCTATAACCGAAATAACCGTAACCGAATTGGTACCGAACCGAAATATTTTGGGTAACCGAAATATCCGAAATACAATTATATTTTCAAAATAATTAGTTATATATAGACCAAATAATCAAAAATACTTGAAAAATATATAAAAATAGTAAAAAATACTCAAAAATAACCGAAATATATCCAAAAATATCCGAAAATACTCAAAAATAACCGAAATATCCGAAACTATCCTAAGCAAAATAACCGAATGGATACTAAATTTTAAAACCGAAAGAACCGGAACCGAACCGAAACCGAACCAAAATTTCAAAATATCCGAATGGATACTAAATTTTGAAACCGAAAGAACCGAAAGAACTGAAACCGAATGGATCCAACCGATAACCGAACAGTTAACCGAAAGCCTAGGCCTATTTTTTATATTAGGTAAAAGGTCAAATCTTGACTTTTCTTTAACGAAACAAATAATCGGTAAGAACCTTAAGTTGCTCAAAAAAGAAACAAAAAAAAGGTAAGAAAGAACCTTCCTACTTTGGCAACAAAAATTTGAATTTTCCATTAATTCAATAAATCTCGACTTTTCTTTATCGAAACTAATAGGGTAAGGTACTAAGGGACTGGTTCAAATATAGCAGTTGTGATTGCGGTTAAAGATTTAATTGCTATTAAGCATTTTTATCGATTGGTTTAGTGGTTGAAAATATATGCGTTTGTGGGTGATTTACGACTGATTGATCAAGGGATACAATAGCGGTTAAATCAAAGTTTACCAAAATAAATATCTTATTATATAAAGTATGCTTTTCAAACTTAGTAACTCATGTGATCGTGACACATATCAAATCTATCGATCGGATTTTGACATATTAAAAGCATTATTCTTTTTTTAATAAAGTAAATTACATATCCTAATAAGAAAATAATTGCAAATACTATTTTTTGTAAACATTTACTATAAAGGAAATTATACAAAAAAGGTGATAGTATATAATTTTATCATACAAACTTTGATGCTCTAAAATTAGTAATTAACATAATCGCGACACATGTCAATGAGTCAATCATATTTTAAAGCATGTAAACCTTGACAAATTGATCTTTTGATATCAATTTAGAAAAATACAGAGTCGAACATGATTAAAAGGTAAATATAATTTAAATAATTTAATGAGAATCAATTTTTCAAGGTTTAAAGAAAAACTAGGACCGGACCCGGACATACGTCCGGGTTATGTTAACATAGAAATTTATGAGTTGAAAAAATCATGTCTTTAGGTTGTGTGTGTTTGTGTGGAAAACAAATTTGACATGACTATGTAATTGTGATTATATTTGAGAGATGATATAATTGAAAAATATGGTATGGTAAACTAAGGTAACATGTATCTAAAAGATGTATGTTAGTAGTGTATGTACTAAAAGATAGTTGGAGTTCGGAGGGTAAATAAAAAAAGTAAGATGTATTTTATGTAATAGATAATTATAAATTAATGATATAATCCATCTTAAACATGTGTTATGCTATACATAATTTAAGCATTTTTTAATTTAGTACTTTTTTATTGGACATGTATAAATTATAAAGATCGAATAAACTCTAAATAACTAATTTTAGTTGGGCCAATTGAAATATTTTTTAAAAAATATTATTTTTTAAAAAATATTATTTTTGCTGCTTTAGTATAAAAGATGACCACATTCGTGCGGGGTTATGTTTGTAAAGGTATTTGTTTGGTATAGCATTCATAACCCGAACTTATCAGTTTGGTATTCGGTTCAGTTTCAATTTGGTTTAGGCATAAAGATTAATCAAATTTGTTCTTGTTATCAATAAATAAAACTACATTAAAAAAAAAAAAAAAAAGAGAGGAAGTAGGCATATCGATTGTGGGACGGAGAACCCGTCTCGTCCCATATCTGCCAGCAATTTTTCATCTCATAACAACTTCTTTTAAAATAATTTATCTGTTTGTGATTATCTATTTGGTCCAACAGATAAGGGAATATGTTTAGGATTCATATGTAATACTAATATTTCCTATATGGTTTGTTTGGGTATTCATTTTTTTACAAAATTAGTAGAAATTATCCATATTTTTTTGTATTTCTAAAAAACTTCCTACTATCTTTTTAAATACCAGAATTTCACAAAATTTCGTTAGGAAATAAACCTTTACCCGTTCAAAAATAATCGTTACCCAAATTAGTGAGAGTTTAAGAATTGAATTTAGCTAAAACATTCAGATATCGTCCTAATACCCGTAATTCCAATCTCATTCTTCTACTTATAACCATACTCATACATCAAAATAAGAAAAAGTAGGCATATAGATTGTGGGACGGAAAACCCGTCCCGTCTTATATCTGCCAGTATTTTTTCATCTCACAACCGTTTTTTAAAAATAATTTACTTGATTGTGATTGGATATTTAGTCCAACGGGTAAGGAATTAGGTCTAGGATGTAGATGAAATATCCGTATTTTATGTATTTTTTGTTTGGGTATTCAATTTTTACAAAATTAGTAGAAATTATCAATAATGTCTTTATATTTTTAAAATTTTCATTTCTATGGTTTTTGAAATAAATACCCAAATTTCTCAAAATTTCAGTCCTGAAATAAACATTTACCCGTCCTAAAATTAATCTTTATCCAAATTAATGAGAGTTTAAGAATTGAATTTAGCTCAAGATTTCCGATGTCTTCCTATTATTCGTAATTCCAATCTCATTCATGCACTTATAACCCGTACTCATACTGGAAAATAAGAGAAATAAGCATATCGATTGTGAGACAGAAAACCCATCATGTCCCATATTTTCCAGCAATTTTTCATCTCATAACCATTTTTAATAAATAATTTATCTGTTTATAATTGTATATTTAGTCCAACTGGTAAGCGAATAGGTCTAGGATTCATATGGTATACCCGTATTTCATGTGTATTTTCCTTTTGGATATTCAAATTTTTACAAAATTAATAGAACTTATCCATAATTTCTTTATATTTCTAAAACTTTTAGTACTATGTTTTCAAAAATACCAGAATTTTCCAAAATTTCCGTCTACAAAAAACTTTACCTGTCAAAAATTAATCTTTACCCAAATTAGTAAGAGTTGAAGAATTGAATTTAGCTCAAAATTTGTGATATCATCCTATTACCGTAATTTTAATCTCGTTTGTGCACTTATAACCCCGTACTCATACATGAAATAAGAGAATGTAAGCATATCGACTGTGGGACGGACGGAAACCCGTCTCGTCCCATATCTGCCAGCAATTTTTCATCCCATAACCTTTTTTTTTTTAATAATTTACTCGTTTGTAATTGTAAATTTAGTCCAATGGATAAGGGAATATGTCTAAAATTCAGATTGTATATCCGTATTTCTTGTATGTTTTCGTTTGGGTATTCAATTTTTACAAATTAGTAAAACTTATCCATATTTTCTTTATATTTCTAAAACTTTTACTACTGTGTTTTTTAAAATACCCGAATATCTCAAAAGTTCAGTCCAAAACTAAAACTTTACCCATTCAAAATTTAATCTTTACACACATTATTGAGCTTTTAAGAATTGAATTTACCTTTAATTTCGAATGACAAAAAAAAAAAAAAAAATTGAATTTACCTCAAAAATTCTGATATCTATCAATTACCCGTAGCCCATATTGACTGCTTTGATTTTGGATGTGACCATAATCGGACTATTATAATTTAGACTGGTCTAGCCTACTCATCAGACCAATTTGACATTCCTAGTACACCGTCGGCCGAATAATTATAATAATTGGAAGTGGGGATACTATAAATATAGGGACGCATAACGAACAAATTTGATCGTAGTTGCAAAGGACATCCGAGGGGAAGACACAAAAATGGTCAATGTTCTTGAAGCTTTTCTTTGAAAGAAAGAGGTTACAATGTTTTCCTAGCAGTGCCAGATACCTACACTAAAGAAGATTTGCCACCTCTTACTATTGCGGCCGTAGTATGCCTTTGGACAAATCTATTTGATGGGGAGTAGAACCCTTTTGAAAGTGATGATAGCCAAACGAGAGAGCAAAATACAATAAAACCTCTTAAAATTAATAATGTTGGGACCGTGAAATTTTATTTGTTTGTAAAATATGCTTGCTTGTTTTTTTTTCTTGTAAATTAAATTTCATTGATCTATAAGGTAGGAATGTTATAGTTTTAAAATATACAAAAAAATTTATTGGTAAATTATAATTCGTGATGGTGTACGCTATCGTAGGCTTACATCATATTTAAAGATTGTAGTAGTCCTATTGGTAGAAGAAAAAGATTGAAACAATTTCAGTAGAAACAATTTTTATACTATTAGTCTTTTGTCAAAGGAGAGAATGCAATTATCCTTTTCCTTTAAAAGATTTTAACAATTTTTTAATTTAATTAGAATAATTTTGTGATTGGTATCATACCTTAATGAATTTATTTTGAAAAAATACTAAAGACCAATGGCATTGTATGTAACATTTAACAAATTTTAGGTTACTTTTTGTAGTAGGATTTTGATATATCAAGCTACATCTCATACAAGAATGATCAGACAACTTCTCGCTAAATGCTCTATGCAATTAGCAATCACTATGGAAATGGGAGATGGTCATTACACTGCATATGTCCATGTAAATGATAAGACAAGGTTTTATTATCCATCATTGTGTTAAATGGTTTTTGTCATTACACTGTTTATTATCCTCTGTCTCATTGTTGTGTTAAATGGTTCATTAGTTCATAATATATGTCTAGT